GTAAATGGTAAATGGTAAATGGACTGAACTTATAGAGTGCTGTATTAAGTCCCTCCAGACCCTAAAGCACTTTACACTTACACCCAGTAACTAAAGTTATTATGTAAATAAACCAAGTATTACAAAGATCTGTTACCTTTTGAAATAGTTTATTTTGCTGCATTTAATCATGAATACAACATACGGAACCCTATAAAAGTAGTGAAGATTAAACATCAAAAACAAAAAGAACACATTCGCCTCCTATTTAACAAAATATTATTTTGACATCTCTGACTTGCCAAATTTTTAAAACAATTTTATTTTCACTTTCAGTTTTTGTCTTCAACTGCTTGTAATTTTAACTGTGTTGAGTGTGCATAGAAAGTTTTTTTTACCAGCTTCTAGCCAAGATTCTGATGTTTCTGTAGATACCAAACATGTCTATGTTTAAGTAAAAGAACTTATAGTAATTAAAGTAGAAAACCAGGGGTTTGGACTTAAGAGATGAATGAACCAATTGGCAGGCCGAACTTTGGTCACTCGCGGGCCAGATGTGGCYGCAGGCTGCCAGTTGAATAGYCCTGGTATAGACTAMATTAAGTTAAACCCACCTTTAATGATGCAGTCCTGGTTCCCTGGACCTACTGCTTAGCATGTTTTTCATGCTCTAACWATCTTGATTAAATTACTTGTCTTGATATAAGCTGATGAAAACAGTTATCTAAATKAAGTGTGCTGGAGCAGAAACACATGGAGGACAGTGGACTCTACAGGTTCATGACTGGAAAAAAAACTGTGCTGATGTGCTCATTGAACAATTCACAAGCATTAGGGTTTCTAATTTCTGGGAAAAAAAGAACATCTCAGGTTTTTTAGTTGTGAAATAAACCTGAAGCAGAGCCCTGTTATTACAATATTAGATGATGTTTTTCTGATGTTAACTCAATTGAAATATAATATGACTAAAGATGAGAACGTGAAGTTCATATATAAGCAAAATATGTGTCATTTTTTAATTTTTGTTGTCATTATTCAATCTTGTGAGTTGTACTGTAATCTGTCTCAATTAGAAGGCTGTAGTGTTTTTCAAAGTGAGGGCTGCAACCCCCTAAGGGTCCACTAGGTGGCGATAAGGGGGCCTCAGAATTCAGGAGGTGGAAAAAATAGGAAACAAAAAAAATCTAATAAATGTATTAGGTCATTATCATAAAATCAAACGYTTTTCAATTCTTTCTTTCTTTTCTTTCTTTCCTTTATTTAACCAGGTAAAACCCCAATAAGATCCAGTTCTCATTTGCAAGGGAGACCTGGACAGAAACCTGCCACACAACATCTTGTTTACACAAAACTAAAACAAATTAAACAATATACACAGGTTTAAAACAACTTACAAAACTAGTTTAAAAGCAATGACACTGACTGATAGAATCAGGTTGCTTGTTTTTCAGAATCGCTCAAAATAATTTCAATGAATTAAGATGCGACACATTGAGTTCAGACTGGAGCTGATTCATGCCAGAGGAGCCATAACACTGAATGCTTGCTTCTCTTTTCCTGTTTGAACACATGGAACATGCAAAACACAAATGTTGGAGCATAAGGAATGGGCAGTAACGGCACATTGTGGAGAGAATTTTAGTAAGCCAGAGCCAAGCTGAGTAGAGTTTTATAAATCAGTAGCATCAAGTGACTGTATCTCTGTATAAGGAGGCCATATAGAATTTTTTTGTTTTGTTTTGCATACAACTCACAATGATGAGACGTCTGCTACCTGTTACAAACCTCAAAACACAATGCTAGACAATATGCATTCATATAATTCATTTTTTTTAAATATAATTTGTTATTTACAAGAGGATTAGATTTTTTTCTGTTCTTATGTCAACAGCTGAAAATTTGTTTTTTTTTCAGTTTTAAAACATGTTAGTTAATAAGATTSTAATTCTAAACAAGTGTATTAATTACTGAATAGTAAATAAAAGTGAGAAGCTCATGTTTGGCTGGCATGGAAAAGTTTGGGAACCTCTGCTGTATGATCCTATATGAGTATAATTATACTTGTTTTTTTACTTACTTTTAGCCTTGTTTCTGAAGTCTCACTCTTCTTCTCTCTTCCCCACAGGGAGATAAGGGCAGCACGGGAGAGAGGGTGAGCCACACCACCACCAAYTAGTCCTCTCAGTGCAGAAATGTCCCGCTGAGCTCATGAGCGTAASGATTCTCAGCTCTTTTCTCTCCTTGCTGACAGGGACCTCCAGGAGTMGGAAGTGGGGTGGCTGTGAAGGGCGAGAAGGGCGTCCCTGTGAGCACTGACACRTTTATTTAACTGCTAAACAACGTTGTGTGCAGGTGGGGGTATTTAATATATTTATTTTTAAAATAATAATTATTGTTATCAGGGAATTCCAGGAACTCTAGGAACTCCAGGTGCTAGAGGGCCATCAGGACCTCAGGGCAGCAAAGGAGAAAAGGTTTGTGCAAACTTATTTGGCTCCAGAATACCCAGGCAATGTAAAATGTTGGTTTTGAGTAACAGATTGRTTTGATTTGATTTGATTTATTGATTTAATAGGAAAAGATTACTAAAAATCAATCCTGACTTAGCATAATTGCTGTTTTACAGCAGGTTCCTGTTCTGCAGCACATAAAACACTCAGAAATACAGCATCACAATCACATCAGTATACACCATAGACACAAAACCAAACAAGCATACCAAATTTCAGGAAGGCAGCATTTGCAAAGTGCACAATGCACAGAGAGTTCCATAATTAGCACCTTGGAAGATCTGAAAATATAAATTGATACCACTATACAAAACATGATTCTGAAAAGATTATTGTTGTTTCTCAGGGCGATGAAGGTGTTGGACTCCCTGGACTCCCTGGAAAGCAAGGAGATCCTGGGGACCGGGTATGTTAGCCACATGGCACATTGTAAAATATTCCTGATGGGACTGTTTGATGGTACTCATACCTGGTTGTTATAAATCCCAAAAAGCACAGTTTTCACTTTAAAGTATACACAACACAAACTTTTTTTTTAAAATGTTGCCTTCATTTGGATCAATGATTCTGCCTGACAGTGTTTAGAAACAGTTTCCTGATTCATCATTTCCTAGTAACACCATCAATCGAGCAAAAGGCATTGGGTTTTACAGGATTTTGTGTACATGCTGGCTCATGTATTTATTAAATACTACAGTGTTATTATTTTATGCTTCTTTAAAAAACATTTATTTTCAAATATTTCCCAACATCCAACTGAATGGTTTTAGAACCTGAACTGCCTTGTTGGATTTGATAGATTTCATTATTAATATGAGCTTTTTTCTGATGCTTTAGGGTCTGCGTGGGCCTGCGGGTGAACTTGGCAGCAAGGTAAGATACAGGTAAGGAAAACAGTTTCTGTCACAAGCTGGAAAAACAAAAACAACGACCTCTGGTTACTGTGCTTGTCTGGATAGGGCGACCGAGGTCAGCCGGGTGAGCCTGGGACACGAGGAGACAGGGTGAGTGTTTTTTTTTTTCCACACGAGACAGTCAAGTCAGTGCATGTCTGTTAGTGTGTGTGCACAAGTGTCTGCTGCACAATGACTGGTTCATATTCACAGACAAAAAAAAAATCAGGTTTAATCATGTTTACAGAGAGAAGATGAATCATGAAAGGAAAATTACCGTAAATCAAATGGGCCAAACAATAATTCAAGCCTTTTGTTCTATTTGGACTTTTATTAATCTTTGAAAAGTTTGATGAGACCAACAGAAGAGGTTAGAGTTGTACTGACGATAGACGTGTTTGGCCTTCACTTTATTCAGGGTTGGTCTGCAGAGACATAAGCATCACAAATTGAAGTCTTAAGATTTTATTTTTTCTTAATAATGAGGGTTAGCTGTTTGAAACAGTGGCGGGAGTCACYTTAGGCCACACTAAACGTCTTACATCAGTGGTCTCGCCCATGATGTTCATGCTTTCAAATGCCAAAAAACTCATTTCAACCAAAACTTTGTGAAATGCAAACAAAAACCTGAGATCCGAAAACAAAGATTTCCAACATGTACACACAAAAAAAGTATTTTGCARATAAAACGTATCACTTCACAAACAACATTTTGCCAGATAATTGAAGGAAAATGTCATGAGTATTATAAAAAAAAGTTGAAAAACAAAGTATGAATAACAAAACTCTCACAAAACTGTCTTACTTGGCATTTCGAGTTTACTTACTGGTTTCAGTTTTAGGCTAAAAATGTCAGTTTTTGTTAGCAGTAAGTTCAAATCTCACGTATCATATCCATTTTAAATAAACCTGAAACTGACGGAGATTGATTGGAAATGTTTTGCTCAGAGCCAAAATTCACCCAGTAAACACGACGCAACAAATCTGAACATCTGTGTCTTTGTAGGGGGAGCGAGGCCCGGCTGGAGAGACTGGGGAGAAAGTGAGTGCAGCTGGTGTTGGTTATTTATTTRTTTTGTAGAGAATAAATCTCTCAGCCKTTGACTTCATTTGGTTTTTAAATGATTTTGCATCATTTTCTGAATAATTTYGTCTTCTCAGGGGGACGCAGGGAAGCCGGGTATCCCGGGATCACCAGGACTGAGGGTGAGCGGTGAAACACTATTTTAAATCTTATATTTTCATCTGTAACTTGGTGAGGACTGAGAACTTCACATATAAGTGTTTTTTTAATGCACTACCAGGGTTTACCAGGACCAAGTGGAGTGTCTGGAGAAAAGGTAAGGTTGATTCAATTAGGAGTAATCCTACAAGAACCAGCAGGTCAGGAGGAACGTGATTCCATTGTTGAACATTTCATAACCTGATGTAATGAGTTTTCAAGCAAAGATCAGAGATCAAGCTGAACGTGTTTCTTTCCAGGGAAACGAAGGCGCTCGAGGGGAGCCGGGCAGAAGTGTGAGCACTCAGATATGAGAAAATCATCATCTATATTTATTTATCCCTTTTCTTAATGTGAAATTAAATGATTTACTTTTCATTTCTAAACCATCCAGGTTCAAGGTTTACCAGGAAAGAAAGGAGATCAGGTGAGACATACTCATTCTCCTGTATGTTTTCTTTTTTTAGTTTTTCAGATGTTTATGTGTTTTGTTTGTTCCTGCCCACAGGGGGAACAAGGCCTGCCTGGTTCTGAGGGTCAAAGGGGAGAGAAGGGAGAGCCTGGACAAAGAGGAGAGAAAGTGAGCAGCCCCCCAGAAGACAATGTTTTGAAATCCTTTAAAACATTTCTGCAGGCCTCCAAATAAAATGAACATTTCTGTCCTCCTTCTAGGGATCTCCAGGAGGTGGTTCAGATGAGGCTGGAACAAAAGGAGATCCAGGAGATCGAGTGAGTTTAAAAGAMACAAAATGTCCTCCTAAAGATTGTTGAAATCATCCCGGTAAGACCATTCTGTCTATGTTTGCTTTCTCATCAGGGACCCCCTGGTCTTAGTGGACGACCTGGAGCCAAGGTGAGAGACCTGAAGTGCGCTCTTTATTCTTACTTTTCTTTTGTTACTGCATCTGTGTGTTTGACTGTTATTTAGGGAGACTCTGGTGAACCAGGAGAGAGAGGAGAGAATGGACGCCCAGGACTCCCAGGAAAACCTGGTCTCCCCGGAAAACAGGTCAGAGTGGCATTAGCCACCTCAGGTGTTTAAARAAGTTTCTATTGATTTGATCCATTTGAAGAAGCAACCACTTTCAGGGTCTCTTCAGTGTATTAAACTGGTGAATCAAACTGCAGGTTTTTTCTCTGTCTGAACACACAAAAAGAGAACTTTTCTGTTGGTGCTCCTGATCTGATCGGAGGAGCAGCATCTTCTGATTGATCTAACATTCAGCTTTTATCAGCGTAATATGTGGCTGCTTCTTCTGACACTTTGTTTATTCATTATTTTTTAATAATTGCCTGCTGCCATGTGACATACTGCATCTGTGTACATGTTTAATTACTATGTATTTTAGTGTCTTAAAATCACTGTATAGATTTTTATCAACTCAAATCAAACTTTGAGCKCAAATTTGATGCAGTAGCTGAGAGTTATCCTCAAAACACCAAATACCATTGGTGTAGGATCTTTATTTCAAACCTATCTGATATACATTCCCTTAAGAGATCCTAGTTTAATATTTTTCAATTTTATTGAAAATTTCAAATTAATATTTAATTCACATATTTTGAATCATGTAAAATCAGTTCACGTTGGTTTAGTTTTACATGAAGCATTTTTAATGAAATGATTTAAACAAAGAAACCTGGAACTGTATCTTTGACAGCTTTTTAAAAATAGTATTATTGTTGTTTTCATCCTGTTTTACTTGATAATTTTAAAAGACAAACAGTATTTGTCAGCACATGTATTCTCTGTGATGTGATGAAAGTTCAAAATCCACTGAAACTTTTTTTATTCTTTTGAACATGCATCTTTTTCTAAAGATGACAGTTTAGAGGTAAAAATAGACATTTTTTTTCACTAACATGAATAAACATTTCTTTTGATGTATTTTTGATGTCATTTTTAAATTAAACCTGTTACAGGGAGAGAAAGGTGACAAAGGTGATGAAGGCACACCTGTGAGTAGAATCTTTTTGTAACGCTTTTCCTATTTAGTCTGTATTTGTTTATATGTTTGGCAAGAAAGTTGTCGTGATTTTCTTTTATTACATATTTGTATGGATGAAACGTTGTGAGGTTTTGGTTATATATCTGAYCATCAGTGTGTGTCTGTTTCCTGTTTGTTTGATTTATCAGGGAGAACCAGGRCTTTCAGGGAAGCCAGGAGAAAGAGGACTGCGGGTAAGGCTTTATTTTTAACCCCTCTTTTTCTTTTAGTTCAGCTTTCACATTAAAACTTTAAAGCTGTCAAGTWACGTCAAGTTCAGTTAACAAACATTGTTATCGACCGCCCACTCAGGGACTGGCTGGTCAGCCCGGACGACCAGGAGAGAAAGGAGACATGGGAGACCCAGGAGAGCACGGCCGAAATGTGAGGGACTCATTTATGTTGCATCGCGCAGACAGATTTTCAATACGCTCTTGTGTTTCTCCGCCAAGGCCGGGTGAGAGGAAAGCGTGAGGAAGGTCGGCCGCTCGGCATCTTTATTGATCTGTGTTCGATTGCAGGGCAGTCCCGGACCTGCTGGACCGAGGGGAGAGAAAGGAGAGCTAGTACGCTGTCTTCTTTAATTATACAAACTCCTCGTGTTTCTTTAGGTCAGCACTCAGCAGATTCAAACACTTTACTCTCTCCCACCAGGGACCTGAGGGGCCTCCAGGACCACCAGGAAAACTGGTAAAATTATCACTTAACTATCTATAATTTAAAAAAAGAAAGCTTAAATTTTTACTTTAAAGTGAACTATGCACAGTCTAACTCAGATAATTCAGAGCAACATGTGAACATCTATGTTTGTGTGCCCGCAGGCKGATACCCAGGCTCTGCTGAAAGGCGAGCGAGGTGAGAAGGTATGTGCTTTTCTTTTCTGAGTCACTCCACAATAAAATATCCTGCAAATGTTACAGTTAAAATCAACCAAACTAAATTGAAATAAAATATGYGGTAATTGAGTTTAAAAAGAAGCAGGTTGCACAGCTAAAAAAATCTCCCATCACTGTGATTTCCAGGGTGACGCAGGCGACCCAGGCGAGCATGGCAGCAAAGGTCAGAAAGGCGAAGCAGGAACTCCCGGAGCTCCAGGTCTACGAGTGAGTTATTTGCAAACACTTTAATGGGAACTGATATTCCTCTCCACTGAAAATGCAACTCCTGTTTGTGTACCTTTGCTCTGCGTGACTGGTCCTCCTGAGTKACTTCTTGCTGTCTGTAAAGGGCTCAGAGGGACCGCGAGGGCCTGCCGGCACAAAAGTGAGTTCACTCGCTGCTTCAGTCTTCTCAACTGTCACCAACTGCGGAACGTTTGATTTCCTGTTTGATTTATTTATTTTCTTTCATTTCTAAAATTTTCAGGGCGATGCAGGAGAAAGAGGAGCACCAGGAGAGAAGGTTTGCAATTAATTAGTGTGACTGAAGATTTGGCAAATTTTTCATGTGCGCAACCACATACTCAGCTCTACTGCTCATCCCACAAATACCCGTTCCTTGCACATGTGGCATAATTTAAAATGGAAATAAACAGACTTTTCAACGGTATAGGTTTATTGTCAAAAAGAATTGTTACAACAAATAAATAACCTATTAAACACTAATTTCCTTGTTGTTGTGCTGAGTTTAGTACATGTGTTCCAATAAGCAAAGGTTCAGATCTTTTGAARTGAGGTTCTGTTGAAAGTTTATTAACAAATATCTTACTTTTTGCAAAAAATTATCTCCAATACAAAGTGGATTGCAGCAACATTAACTCAGAATATGATACGATACTACCTGATATTTTATTGAACCTTTGGTTTCTGTGTTCAGGGAGACAGAGGAGCATCAGGCTTGGATGGGCGACCTGGTCTKGATGGGAAACCAGGTTCTTCAGGGCCACCTGGACTAAGGGTGCTTCTATTTTTAGCAGCTTTGACAAAACTACAAACCTCACTGTGATGCATGTACCTGTCTGGTTACAATAAATTTATATATTTATTCTGTTACAGGGAGATCCAGGGAAAACGGGTGATTCTGGAAGAGACGTAAGCTTAGGTTTTCTCAGATATGGCACTTCCCCATTTTTTTCCCTTTTGACCCTGATTTCCCAAAATAATTTAAAAAATCATTTTTTTAAAATCAGGAAATAAGTGTGATTTTTTGCCAAATCTGTGAACTGAAGGGTTACATCCTGCAGAGGGCACTGTGGAGATGTTCACATGCACTCTGTACTCGTTGCATAAGCCAAGTGAAGGGGAAGATTTCTCAAGGCCAATTTATTTTCACCGGAGACTGTTATGTAACATTGTCAATAATAATATTGTAATAACAATGTTTTTAAAGGACCTGAGCAACTACAAGTTTTTGATTAAGCTCAACAATTTAATTTCTGTTTAACAGAAAAGACACTCATTAAAACTGAGCTGTTTTTGTCACTTAGACATTTCTTTGCATTTTCAGTGATAAAATCTCAAACTGAAAAGATTAAATTCGCTCTCATACACTTTKCTGTAATAGGGATTACCAGGATTAAGAGGTGAGCAGGGTCCGCAGGGACCTATTGGTCCTCCAGGAAATCCAGGAATACCTGTAAGTGCACATTTTTGTATACTATACATATATTTTATTTTGTATGATTTCTTTCAAATAAATCTTGTTATGTTTTAGGGGAAAGCAGGTGAAGATGGCAAAACTGGTCCTCCTGGCAAAACGGTAACTCTCCCCATGACTGAGTAACATAAACTGTATTATACCTGATTTATTTTTCTATTAATGACTGATTTAAATACTAATCTGCTCATTTGGAGGATAAATATTGTGAGTTCTGCGTGCCTGTCTGGCAATCTCTCACTAGTAATGACCTTGATGTACCGATCCTTTTCCTGTGAACAGTCAAAAGCTGTTCAGACATTTATTACAAAGTCTGCTGCATAATAACCGTCTTAAGTGAGCCTCTGAAACAGCTGAGCAGAGTGCTGCTGCTGACGACCAGCCATCATTCAGTTTGTAATGTATTTTGTTTTGACTCGCAGGGAGACGATGGAGTGCCTGGTGAAGATGGGAGAAAGGTCTGTGGCTCTTTTTTAAAAGTTTTTATGATATCTGAGACTTTCAGGATTATTTTCTCTAAACAAGTTTACCTTAGTGGAGAATCACACAGAATCACAGTTAAACCCAGAGACATTTATACATTTATAAAGCAAATGTCAAACAAAATTCATCTTTATTAAGCAGCATCTCTGCAATCTTTTCACTTCTAAACAGTATACAGTGTGTGAACTTTGTAAATGACTAAAACAAAAATCCATACGTGCGCACTCAGTTAACATCTTACTGCTTGTTTTTGTGTATTTCTCCAGAAAGCTGATTGTTGTTTCTAATCTGCAGGGTGACAAAGGAGAAGCTGGAGCAGCTGGAAGAGATGTCAGTTTTGTTAATCCTCCTTTATATAATTATCCCTCGTGTGTGTTTTGTTCGAAAGTTTGTTTCCACTCAGCATCCTCTCGTTTTCCTCTCCTCCCTCCCGTTTTCTCTGTGTCTTCGTTACACATCAGCTTTCTTTTCTGCTCATCGCTTTCCTCTAATGTGTGTTTGTGGTGAGTAGTTTGCTTTGACATTGACACCAGACTCTCACCCTCTGCTGAATCAATGGGCTTCTCAGAATCAGCCATATAGATCCACCAGCTTTTAATGATCAAGCTTAGCCTTTAAGGGGGTGCCACTTCAGAGAGGAATCCAGAGGAGCGCCAAATGTCAGAGTGCTGTTTTCATGTGCAAATTTATATTAATTATCTCTTGAACATCAGTGGAGGGGTGGCAGCAGCCACCTGCTTTGATTTTATAGTTCAGCCTCTACTATAGCGCAGAAGGAAATAAATCTGTGTGAAGTGACTCTCGGTTGCGTAACTGCATGTGATTTATCAGGGCCGTGACGGGGAGAAAGGTGACCGCGGGCCTGCTGGGACTGCAGGCCCCTCTGGTCCCACGGGACCTCCTGGATTGCCTGGCAGCATTGGTCCTCCCGGACAGGTGAGACTTAACAGAGCAATAATAACGACAATAAATTGACATTTTAACTAATTTACACATTTTCCCCTCAGGTTGTGTATGTAAAAGGAGTTGAAGCTGCTCCAATCCCAGGTCCACAGGGACCTCCTGGAACACCTGTGAGTAAAACAWCTGCAGTGGAAAGTACAGATAATGGTGTGAAAATGAAACGAGCAGAAGTAAATGTCTGCTGAAAAATAAATACTCCAGTAAAGAATAAATTAACAAAATTTCTACTCAAGTAAAGTAACTAAGTTTTTGTGCTTTGTTACCTTTTGATGAGAATCAATACAGTTTGGTCAAACAAAATGTCAGTGGTAAATGTTTTCCTTTCTAAGACAGCAGATGCAAGTTCAAGTGTCCCTGGGTCTTGTTCATGAGTGTGAGTGGAACAAARTGGGCAATTGTTTGGCAAATATGGCATCCAGAATAAAGCAGGAACTGATCTGTAGTGGCAAAAAGRAAGCTGAGCCCAGAGACAAGACTTTGAATTCACCGACTTTACTGGTAACATGGATATTAGTAGAGACTATACATGTCAATCCCTTTCAGATGTTTACCTGTAGCTTGACCCTCAAAAATCTGTCTTTTCTTTATATAAAAATGTGTGTTACTCATATGATCCAACAGGGGGTTGGGTGACAAGAAGACTATTGGCCGTGGGGAAAGGGGCTGCAGCAGAGAAGTAAAATAAATTTAAAGCAGAGTTTTGGAAAAAATCCATGGAATTAAAAAAATCTATGTGATTGCCCTATACGTCATATGTACCTGCAAAATGGGGTAAAATCTCTGTAATTTATGGACAATCTGTACAACTTAACATGTATGAGTGATGAAAGAATGGGACAGCAAAAACAACCAGCTTAAATGAGCTTCATAAGTAAGAGTTTGGCTTTTTTGGGCACATCTACCAAAAATAAATGATTTMAAGTTAAACTTAGAATTTGTGTTGTGTAAAGATATTTTTATTTGAGCAAATCAAATGTGTGTTTTGATTGTTTTGGTCTAACAGTTGTGATGTGTAGATCACTGCATTCCTCTGAACATCCAAATGTTTTTATTAACTTGCTTTTATCTCTCAGGGGGTTCCTGGGATCCCAGGAGCAGGAGGAGCTCGAGTAAGTAGTCGCTTTTCCTTTTACAATTTGCTTTTTCCTTTTATTTGTTCCCTATCATTTTTAATCTTCTTTCTTGTTTCAGGGGGAGAGAGGTCCACCTGGTCCTAAAGGTGACATTGTAAGTGAAACATGACCCCATGGTGTAACATTTAATGATTCGCAGGTTTTGTACTGATGCCTTTGATTTCTTATTATTTCTAGGGAGACCCAGGAGAGGATGGAGCTCCTGGTAAACCAGGGACTGCAGTGGTAAAATATGTGCAAATTTCATGCCATACAATCCTTTATTTGTTCATATTTCTTTGATTTACGCATCATTTTGTAAACAACGTGTTTCTGCTTCTCTGAAAAAAGGATGTGCAAAAAGCTCTGGCCAGCCTCGGTATTCAGGTGYGTGGTTTGTTTCCAGTTTAGATTTACCATTACAGGATTGTTTTAACAGATGAGAGTTTGAARGATGAAAGAAATGACAAAAACAAAAAGAATAACAGATGTAAGATGTGGGGGAAAACATTTAATAACACTTAAATGCATGCATTTCTTATAGATTTCTGTGAATAAGTGTGGTTATAATGTTTTAAGAAGTAAAAGAATATCTTGAACTTGTGCATTTAGTCAGGTTTTATGTTTTTTTTTCAAATGTCAGTGTGCCATTTACAGCTTTTTTGCATCTATATTGGTTTATCATAAATCTGAAACCCTCTTCAGGGTTGTTCAATTAATTATCTTGTCTTCTATTATTTCTACACATCTTTCTAAACATTCAAGAGTTTAAGGTTAAATATTTCCTTAAAACCCTATACCTGACATTTCTGAATGTATTAAGTGACAGAAAAGACTGCAGTTAAAAGCAGTGAAGACGTTGCTGACATTAATCTGCTGACAGTCTTTATTTGAGGTCAGAAGTGTTTCACAAACTTTCTGCTGGAAGGTGTGAAACTCTTCTTGTACTGCGTACAGGTGGCTGATTTGAAGGTGGTGATGGAGAAGAAGGACAACATTTTGTCTCCCTCAGTGCAAAAAGCAGAGAAGGGTGAAAAGGGGGACAGAGGCGAAGCTGGACCAAGGGGACCATCTGGTTCAGATGTAAGTGGTTTTAAGACAAGTGTGCATTTAGTAAAACTTTCAGTCTGTCATTAAACAAGTTTTGATGTTAATACGTAACTGTGGTATTATTTATTAAAACATATGGCCAAATTTATACTTTAGATGTATGTTTAAAATTACTAATAAGTCAGGAATAAATTTAAGAAAGCTTTTAAAACATTTGTGCAAAATTATAGTGTGAGTCAGCATTATATATTTATTCCTTTTTCACAGTTTATTTTACGTTTTGTTTTCAAACCTAAAGGGTTGATATATTTTTGATTGTTTCTCACCCTTTTTACTTACAGCAGTATTTATTCTTTATCTGCTCTCAATAAGCATCACTTCCCCCCTAAAATCGCACGCTAATTACTATATCTAGGGCATTGCAGGGCTCAGTTTTCTTGCACAAGGACTCTTGGCCAGGYAGATGAATCAGATCACTGATCTTCCAGTTGGAGGACTGTGACCACTTCATCTTAAGTGTGTAAAGTAGGATCAGGTGGTTTAGTGCAAACAGGCTTTCTTCTTTTATTTAGCTTTACGAAGGGGTTTGAAGGCTCTTCTTTACTCAAGTGCACTGTTCAACCRTGAACCATAACAAATTTATGCTTGTAAATATATTTAAACATAATCACGACATCTATTATGATGAAGTTTATTTGTCAAATTAGGCCTGATAAATACTGATCAGCTCTGTGATTATTTGGCTTGTATTTTCATAATAAAACTATAAAATGTGTGAATTGGTGCTCGCTCAAACAAGTTGGCGTGCCTGTGTGTGATGATGAGTAACTGGATGCTCTCCCAGGCTATAAATCTAAATTGTGACCTCATGCTAAACTGACCCAGACAGTAAATCTGCCCCCATGAGTAAAGATAAAAACAGACGGAAGACATCTTGTCAGATCATAACAAATCACAATGAAGCACATTTTGCCGTCCCGTTTTGCATCAGGGTGCTCGCGGTTTTCCAGGAGACAGAGGAATCAAAGGGGACCAAGGGGAGCGAGGACAGATGGGACCGGCTGGCCTCCCAGGAAGAGCCATTGGCGAGCGAGGACCGGAGGGACCCCCGGGGCCTGCAGGAGAACCTGGCAAACCCGGGATACCTGGTGTTCCTGGAAGAGCGGGGGAACTGGGGGAGGCTGGCAGACCAGGGGAAAAGGTGAAGAGGAGGTTTGCTAAAATAAAAATGTTCTTATCAATAAACATGACTTGATGCTTGTGTGTTTCAGGGAGAGCGAGGAGATAAGGGAGACAAAGGCGATGCTGTAAGTAGTTATACTAGACGTGTAGCTTCGGCAGTGCTTGCAGTCAGCTGAGAGTTTTCTCTGTTCATCAGGGTCTAGTTGGATTAGCAGGACCAGCTGGGCCTCAAGGTGAAAAGGTAAAATCCTTCTAATGCTGATGGTTTATGTGATATCACCAATGGAATATGGCATAGAAAAAAACATGAAATAAGATCTGAGTTTTGAAAGATTTTAATATTTTTTTGTAGGGAGCTCCTGGTGAATCAGTTCTGCTTGGTACCCCCGGGCTCAGAGGGCCMCCAGGCGAAAATGGCGAGCCTGGTCCAACTGGCCCTTTAGGACCGAAAGGAGAACGAGTAAGATTTAAATAATGTACAATGACATGTTAGTATCTGTTGTTTTATTAAACCTGTTAATGTGTGTTTTTACAGGGTTTCGCAGGTCCTCGTGGTGAAAAAGGTGACAGAGGAGAGGTTGGAGAGAAAGGACGTGGAGGCTCACCGGTGAGATAGCTCTCAGCTCAGATTAGATTACACGACGGTCACGCAGAGAGAGAGAGAGAGAGAGAGAAAGAGGGGAACATAAAACTAAGTGTGGTTAAAATGATGAATGTGTTTTGTTCTACTCCAAGGTAGATTTAAAGAAAAATGACTGTGTTTTAAGTTAACCTTTGAAAAGWACCTATTTATTGAAGCTCAGCAGCTCTTGATATTTTCAGAGAGATACTCTGTTCATGAGGGTTGTRGATGAGTGGACACATCCTTTGTGAAGGGGCAGGAAAAGGGTAGTGGTGGGGGGGGTATTGTTTAAGCTGAAAAAAGGTCTCAGAAGGTAATCTTTTGTGTTTCCTTGGGAAGGAGCCAAACTCCTTTTAAACTTTTTTAACTTGCAAAATCTTTGAGAACACTGCCTTCTTTGGAAATGTAATTAATCATGTTTTTTTTTTTTTTACTTTTGAAAGTTCTCATATCTATCCACTAAATAGTTAGTTCCTGCTCAGACAGTGTATAAAGAGGGGCTCTGACATCAGCCCATGCTGTGTGGACAGAATTTTATTTGTCAAGGGAAGCACTTGCTGCACTTTATGGTACTTTTCTACTTGCTTCAGACCCGTTAACAGTATAAGTACTTACTGATGGTTGGTTTAATTTAGCACACTGCAATCAATGTATATACATAAAAGCAGAGTTGCAGAATTTCAGTGATTAAGCTAAAAGACAAGCTATTATTTTCTTTGCCAGTAAATTAACTTAATAACACTGTTTTCAACAACTTGGCATTGAAATATTGGCAGTTATGCAAAATATATTTTTTTCTATGGAAAATAAGACGAGCTCTAAAAATGGTGTTTATTCTTTTTTATTTTTATTCTTTAATTAAAAAAACTTGCTCAGAAGTAGGATTCTGTGAGATATCTGATGTTGGACTAAACTGCAACAACTGTATAAATAACAGGAGCTTTTTAAAGCAAAATTAGAGCAATCATGTACAACCCTAATTCCAATGAAGTTAGGATGCTGTAGAACCTAAATAAAAACGATTTGCAAATGGTGTATATTCTTTTTTATTTTTATTCTTTAATTAAAAAAACTTGCTCAGAAGTAGGATTCTGTGAGATATCTGAAGTTGGACTAAACTGCAACAACTGTATAAATAACAGGAGCTTTTTAAAGCAAAATTAGAGCAATCATGTACAACCCTAATTCCAATGAAGTTAGGATGCTGTAGAACCTAAATAAAAACGATTTGCAAATCATTTAAAACCTATATTCAATTGAAGACATTACAAAGACAAAATATTTAATATTCAAATGGATAAACTTTATTGTTCTTTTTTTTCAAATATTCACACATTTTTTATTTGATGCTTCCAAGGAAACTGGGACAGAGGCAACAAAAGACTGGGAAAGTTAAAAAGGTTAATTGGGAACAGGTGAGTGTCATAATTGGGTATTAAGGGAGCATCCCTGAAAGGCTCAGTCATTCATAACTAAAGTGGATAAGTGTCCTGTGGTCTGATGAGTCCACATTTCAAATTGCTTTTGGAAATGATGGATGACGGAGCAAGGAGGAAATAAACTGTCCGGATTGTTAGTGCAAAGTTCAAAATCCATCCTCTCTGATGGTATGGAGTTGTGTTAGTGCCCTTGACATGGATAACTTGCGCATCTATGAAGCACAATTAATTCTGAAACTACATCCAGGTTTTGGAGCAACAGGCTGCCATCCAAGCCACGTCTTTTTCAAGAACGTTGTTCAWATTTCAGCAAGACAATGCAAGGCCACATTCTGTGCATGTTCCAACAGCATGGCTTCGTAGTAAATGAGTGAGGGTACTACACTAGCTGCATTTCCATTGACCATGAAAATGCACAAATTAGAATTTCGAAAATAAATTTACTCAATGGAAACACGTCAGTTTCGAAAAAAAAATACGTTTTTCGACAAAATGTTTTTGCGCTAGGATGAGGTGGTATTTTGGCCGTATCGACTTTGGTGTTTTTCGCAAAACTGCAATGGAAACGCTTTTTTCGCATCACGGGAGTCGTGATCAACAACCGGCTGTTTCTACTGGCAAAAAAGACGATGACGAATAAGTTAATAGGAAGTAGAAGTAGTACTAATATCACAGAAGCAGTATAAAATAGTAAACTCATGACTACAATTTCCCAAAAACACAGCACACGTAGCCGCTCCCAAGTAAGGACTTGTCGCTGGAAAGCCTTGATAAAAAACGCTGACGTCTCCTCTGATGATGAGCGCTAGTGTGGCGGTAGCAATATGCTATGTGTTTACATCCATTGCCGCCATGTTTGTAATGACTTATYGCGAGAACAAACGTATTCACACGTGACTTTAATAGCATTTCTTACTTAATGGAAACACYGCAGTTGCGAAACTGTGTTTTTTCGACATTAACAGAATATCGACAAAGTTTTGCGCACATTTACAATGGAAACACAGCTACTGTCCTGCCTGCAGTCCAGACCTGGCTCTCATTGAAAATGTGTGACACATTAAGAAGTGCAAACTACAACAACAGAGACCCTGAACCGTTGAGCGACTGAAGATGTTCATCAAGCAAAAATGGGAAAGAATTCCACCTAAAAAGCTTCAACAATTATTGTCCTCAGTTTCCAAACCCTTACTGAGTGTTAAAAAGAAAAGGGGATAAAACACAGTGGTAAACATGCCCCTGTTTAAGCATTTTTGGAACTTGTTGCAGGTATTAAATTCAAAATGAGKGAATATTTGCAAAAAACAAAACAAAAAAAAAACTTTTATTTGTTTTAACATTCAATATTTTGTCTTTGTAGTATTCARTTGAATATAGGTTAAAGGATTTTGCAAATCATCCTATTCTGTTTTATTTCAGTTTTACACTACGTCACAACTTCATTGGAATCAGGGTTGGGGYTTCGAAGCATTTCTTTTCAGACAAAACAAAAAAAGAGCAACTTTTATCACCTGCATCATTAAAAGTAAGAACATTTCTGCAGCATACGGCTCTGTTCTGGAACAGAACATCTGATTTGAAGCAGTGGTAGATTACAACTCGACGACCGATAAAGCTTACCTTATCTGGCAATCTGCAGGGATGATCTCTCGGTCTACAAAATTCCACAGTTATCTAAAGCCTGCTGCAACTCAGAGATGAAATCAGGTGACATTTTGACTAAAAGGGATTGAAAAAAAYTTGGTATCTTTTTTATGAAATCTTAAATTATTTGAATGCTAATACACACCCTGCAATAGTGTCACTGGTACAGCTAAAAAAAGAACAACAGGTGAAACCAAATGTTTGCTAGTAAAAACTCTTTAAAAATGTAAGCAATTGGGTTGTTTACTTAAATGGTTAACATCAACCTGGAAGCTCATTTAATAAATGAACTACAAACAATAACATTTATATTGAACATGTAAGTTTTTAATTTAAATAAACAGCAAAAGGTGTAGAAATATAATTTTAACGTTTTATGC